TTTAGACTGGGTATCATAAGAGTTCAATAAGAATTACAGATAAATATAAAAGTGTCAGAATTTTTAATGTGGAATTTGGGGGTATGTTAGAAAAGAGAAGTAGGGATGAAAAAGGAGGAAGCCACTTAAACAACACAAATTTCCTGAACACGTGTTCTGTTCTGGGTCTGGCTGTGATCCTGGAAAAGGGGATGACTAACAGAGTCTCCCTTGCTCTCAGGCATCTCACAAATAATAGGGAGGGAGATGTGTTTGTCAAGAACTTTTAGGCATGTTACATGGGAAGTGTTGCCACAGTGCCTCCAAAATCTGAGGCTTACTGCACTGGTCTCAGTCGTCAGACAGCTGAGCACAATGTCAGTGTGAGGTGCCCGAAGCCAAATGAATCCTGTATCAATATCTGTGGAAAGCAAGACGAGCAGTTTACAGTGTAGCATTAGTGGAACAACCAAAGGCCCTTGAAAAGCCATACATATTTATTGGTCGTTACTATGTAGATAGTATACCAAATGCTTAAAACTATTCTCTCACTTAATCTTCCTACTCACCGTATGCGTCATCGGTTGGCTACTGTAACTATCTTTATTTTATAGAAGAGTGTGAGCTTCAACCAGAGAAAATGGTTTCCTTGTTTGTCACAGGGTCAAGTGTTGAAGGGAGCAATCAGCCCATGACTTGTGCTTCAGGGAGAGCAGGAGTGGGCATGTCCAGGAGGATGGGTGGGGTCAGGTGGTTCTGAGAGATGGCTAATGACTTTGGCTTTCTCCAATAGGACTCTGGAGTTTCTGTGTGGGTTGCAGTGGGGATTAGAGACTTGGAGTTCCACCTGAATCTCACTGCAGAGTGTCAATGAGAGACAGCAGGACTGTCCATGGATCAGAAAAGATTAGTGCTGCACTGTGTGGTATTCTGGGCAGTATGTTGTATGTGTGTGTGCTTGAGCATTTCTCTCTGTGTGTGTGTGTGTGTGTGTGTGTGTGTATGTGTATGTAAGTGTAATCAGATAAAGTACACATTCTAATGCTCAATATGTTCCAGTTGGTAATACATACTAATTAAAGTCCTGTGTCATAGAAGAACTACCATATGTCCTTCTGCTATCCTTACCTCCCAACATGGTTAGATTTTAAAAGAAAGTCACGCCTATCAATAAAAGGTGAATGGATTTTCATTGATGGAACTAGTGGTGTTTAAAAGATGTAGACTCAAGTAAGGATTCATTTAAAATGCCTCAAATCAATGGGAATCAAGCATAATGGAATAGGATATTCAATAAATTCATTTGAAATTTGGCTTAGTCATGGTGGTGTTCCAGCAAAAGAAAAATAAGTAATACTTGGGGAGGCATTATATCTTATAGGTAGAAAATTCTACTCAGTTATAGCCATTTCAAATTAAAATAATTTATAATATTATTATAATATTATAATATAATATATAAAATAATTTATAAAAGTTGCACATACATTTTTAAGCATTTACAAATACAGTTGATGTGTATAAATAAGAGACTGGCCACTCCAGATGAAGGTGGGCTTATAATAGCACCACCAAGGCGTCTATTCTCAATGTTATGTGTATGCAACCTTCTCTTTTGACCTGGTAGATTCATCAGTACTTTATGTATAGTTGAAATATGACTTCACTACAACTAATGGGAAAACATCTTTAGACTGGCTAGGACCACTTTCCCATCATGTATGGCCTTGTGTGGACAAAGAAGGAAATCTAGTAAACTGTTTGGCCAACTGACTCCTTGGTCAAAGGTTCTGACCACATTTAACTGACTCTGAAAAGGTCTTTGTTAAACAAGAAAGTCAGTGTCTAAAACGCTGCATTAGTGTCACATGGGCATCAAGTAGCTACTTTATGCAAAGCAGAATGTTGGAAAGACAGTTGAACTTCACCATTCCAAAATTACAGACTGTTGGGTACCTCTGCATACATTTAAGTGTGTGTGTGGGTGTGGGTGTGTGGGTGTGTGGTTTCAGCTTAAGGCTTATAGCAGATCTCTAAATTCCACAGAAGCCTCACATACCTATGAAAGGGTACGTTCCAATGGTAGAAAGGAGAGGAACCTGGCATTCTGCACCAGTGGGTTCATTATAACAGGCCACATGTGCAACTAAATGATTGACTGAATGGGTAAACGTTACAGGAACATCTATCATCTAGCTATATTCTCTCATCTGTATTTTATCTATCATCTATCTACTGACCTATCCTCCATCATCTATCTGTGTATCATTCAATTTCTCTCATCTTTCTTTTATCATCTATAGATCATCTATCTACTCACCCATCCTCTATCTTCTAGCTATCACCTATTTATCATCTATCATGTATGTATCTTCTGTCAATATATCTATCATCTGTCAGTCTACCTATCATGTATCTACCTATCCATCATCTAATCTGTCTCACTCATATGGCAAGACAGATTCATTGACCAAAAAAAAATCTTAAAGGAAGAAACATTTTAGAGAGGGCAGTAAGAGCATTTCACAATGCAGGGTTTGGGTTTCCAGGGAGAATGAAGAGTTAAAGTGGGTCAATGCCTTGACTTTATGACTAAGGTGCCTAGGAAGGGGCAGTGTGTGTAGAGTGTGGACCACCATGAAAAAGTGGCATTTCATGAAACAGGGACATGTTGGGTGAGCCTGCAGAGCTCTGAAATAGGTGCCAATTTTAAGGTGGCAACAACAGAGTTTGGAACCAGGCACAGGCAGGGTCTTACCAAGCACAGGTCCTGCTGTGACTGCAGATCACCTACACCCACAGTGCTGGCCTGCTTACAGACCATGTTAAACCAGGATGCAGCTAATTACAGGCCTCGGGGAAGAGGATGCTGATAAAGGACCATGGCAGGAAGGATGCGGGGTAGTGGAGAAAGGAGACTGGCCAAATTAAAATCCTGTTTATCTTTTGACATAAAGATTTGGGGGATTTTATCTTTTCAAAGAGCTGCCTTCTTGTGGGACTTCTCCCAAGCACAGAGAAGTAACCCAGAAATGACAGAGAGAGAGAACCATATCGACTCCAAATCCACAAGTAGAGCTCCAGTCCCAGGGCTGCATTTGAGCAAAGCTGCGAATGCCCACGGGCAGCCAGCAGGCCAGAAAGGGAAGCTGAGGGCATGTACTCCAGGCTCACAAAGCCATGAAGGGTCATGAGCATCTATCAGCCTATCAAATAATCCACACCAATGGCCGGAACATGTACCACCCACTGGGCAGGCATGACAAGGCTTCTACAGAGGAAACAGTGGCACGACCGTGTTTGTTCTTGAGGGGAAATGGGGCCACTGCTCGGCAAGGCCCAGTTCACCATTTCTCCCCTGACTGGTTTGTACACACCTGTGACTCCCCTCCCCCCTCTACCCATCTCCCTCTGTTACTTTCTCCTAGTTTGCTCCAAGTCTTTTATTCCCTATATCCTCCTGCACCAATTCTTACCCCCTTCCCACATCAAGATGGAAGCAGAAGTGCAAGTATCTATCTACCTGGCTCACACAGTAACCCAGGAGAGTCTCAATTATATGGGGTATTCTCACGCACTGACATAGCCATGGCTTCAGGGACCTCTTAAAAGGTGAGGAAAGGAGTTTTGTGTCGGTGACCCTGTCTCCAGAGCTAGGGGGTCGATCTAAATTACAGATCAGTCTGAAGCCTCAACCAGTTCTTCCTCAGTAATTTCTCCACTCTAGCTAAGATAGCAAAGTCCAAAGACTCACTGCGGAGGCTTTGGCATGAGTGTCTAACCTTAGGATGCATGTTCCTGGTCTGTGTAACCTGGTGGCATCTGCCATCCATAGTCATTTGCCCAATCCACTCTGTTTCCATCTACGACTTTGCAACTTAGAACCAGCAAATAGGAAAAATTAATGCCAAACCCATTAAAAGACACAGCCTTTGCCGTTCCTTGACAGCCCACTGCCTGACTATTTTACACACGTTCTAATGCACAGCCTGAAAAGATAAAGTCTTATGAACATGGAGGAAAAAAACTTCAAATTTATAACTATTATGGCTGTTGAAGTTGGTCATAGATACACAGTGGCCTTTGTTTGAAGCTTAACATAGTAGATAATTACCATAAAATATTTGGGAAAACCACAGTCAGTTAAGAAGAATGAAGAAAAATTCATCTCATCTCCCTGCTTTAAGCACTACAGGCATCGTGGTCTTTTTCTTCCCACTTTGAATGCTTCTGTCTATGCACAGATGATTTTACTCTGTACTCTTCGGCCTTGACTCTTAGCTGTCTATAGGAGGCAATCCTCCAAATCACTGATAGCTTTAAACAACTGCTTTATTGCGGGTAGAGAGTCCACTGTGTGGGTGTTGTAAATCATTACACACTATCTCATTTGGGTATTTGAGGACAGTTCAAACTTTGCTATAAAAGGGAATATGGTTAATGTTTTCCTGGAATAAAAGTTGTTTTATTAATCCATTTGAGACTTTTTATATGTGTTGATATACAATTGGAGTTATATTTTGGGTTTCTTTTCTTCATATTATAATGGGGAAATAGTTTGAGTTACCAGGTGAAATGTAATTAATATTTAAGATTTGCACTTCTTTTCTCTCTCATTTCTTTGTTATTGCAGTGTGTGTATGTGTGTGTGTGTGTGTGTGCGTGTGTGCGTGTGTGTGTGTGTGTGTGTGTGTGTGTGTGACATGCACATGAGTGTTCAGGTGCATGGGTCAGTTGACGAGTATATGCAGTGGCTGGAGAAGGCTGTCCAATGTCTTTATTATTCTCTGCCTTTCCTGTCTTAAGACAGAGTCTCTCACTGAACCACAAGTGTAGCTTTTTGGCCATGCTGGTTTTTTATGTGAGTGTTGAGGATTCGAACTCAGGTCCTCAAATTTGTAAGGAATCGCTTTCTACAGTATTTCTAATGTGACCTGTGCATTCTCAGGAATAATTGCTTTGAGGATAAAGTTAGTTCCAGCTGATACGTGTGAATTCTGAGGCTCAAGGCAGATTCTTACCACACAGTGGCTGTTTTTCATCGGAACTCCGGGATCACATAACTTCTGAATGGCCAAAGCCGGTCTGCAAAATGACAAAACAAGCGTTGCCACCAAATAGAAGCCTCAGAGTGCCATGGTCAAGGGGAGGGTTGGTCAGAGAGATTGAGATGTTCGTGAGTTAAGGCTGACAGTCCTGGCAAATGGCTGATTGCTCTGATGGAGTTTGGTTGGAGCATGTGGAATTCTTCTGACATCGCCACTAGTGTTTTCCATTTCCCTTTGTCTAGCAGCTACTTGCAGAATACCACCGCGCCGATCCCGCTCTGCTAATTTGATCTGTCACGTTCTGTGCGTCCATACATCCCTTGCTTATATTTAGAATCTACTCACTTGCTCGCTCTCTCCCTTCTCCAGATTCCAGGCAGATTTCAAATGCTAGTAAGTCAGAGAATGTATGCTGTCACATTGTCATATAAAACACACACGTACACATACACACATACACATTTTAAGAACTTATCCTGAATAATATGGCCTTTGCTTAGGGGGAAAAAACACGAGAAGACAGTTTACACTGCAGCGTAGCAAAGACCATATTTTCTCGTATTTAGGAACAAAGGCATGCCAGGCTTTATTGAGCACATCACTAACTATATAACTAGCGTTAAACACTCTATTTGCAACTGTTGCTGTGTGTTTTGTGTGTGATTATCACCCCTAGATCTGCATCCTATAAAAAGATATTTCTGTTTGCTTAATTATAAAGCTCTTTATGAACAGGGCTCCTCTGTAAATAGCTTGGTGCGGCTGAAATAGAAATATAATTATAATGAAGGCAGATGTTTGTGAGATACTGGCTCATGAGACTTGTTCAGAATCTACAAAGGAGCAACGTCGGAGCGTGTGTTTATCGCGGGCCAAAGCTGGAGCAAGGCACGTTTGCCTCTGGGCTGGGTGCATTTGCCTCCAACTTCTGCTCTGTGGCCTCCGTGTTGGGGACAGAAGGTACTCACCTGACTCAGGACTGAGCAGAAAGGAGATCAGTTTGGAGAGAGATCCAGGAAGAAGCTGAGAAGAGCAGTGCACCCCAGACCAGGTTGGAGGGGAGGAAGGAAGCCAAGTTGTATGCACCGTTCTACCCACTGGGCAACTTGGGCCACAGTAGTGGGGATATGAGGTTGGGTGGTCTGCTGTGATCATGTTGAAGTCCGTTCACGGAAAAGAATTCCCTTCCTCCTAATTGATTATCTAGAAATTACTCACACAGGAAAGTGAGGGGAGAAAGTTAAAAGACACTAATATAAATACTTGTCTGACCAAAGCATGCTCTCTCGGCTAAAAATTGGGCATTTTATTCACTAGTCTTTGGTTCAGATGAAATTTCTTTTGAATCACCTTGTAAATGGACTGGGCCCTTAAAGTCACCATGCTTCTCTGCCCACACGTTTTGAGTCAATATTCTGTTGTTTTTAAAGTATTTTGAAAACATTAGTTCTCTCTCCCTCCCCCTCCCCCTTTTCATATTTCTAATATAGTATATGCACATATAAAACATGTGTCTGAACATACACATGTATGCTAGGTCTTTTATCTACATTTCTTACTCGTTCTGGGGGTTGAGCATAGTCTCATGTCATTCACACTGGTCTCAGACACTTTCTTTCTGTGACAGGGTATAGCCTTGAGTATCTGATTCACCTACCTCCATTTCCTCCTTGCTGGCATTACAGGCATGCTGTTCCTCACCTGTCTCTGCAGCGCTTGCAAGAAGACCAGAGCTCTCTGAATGCTTGTACTCCACCAACTGAGCATCAGCCCTGTCCACACTCCTCATCCTTCAGCATACATCATCTGCCATTTTTTTAACTGAGATCACAAATGGCCTTGATACAAGTACCCTCCCTCAGCTTCCCACCTCTTTTGTAAATGGTCTTAACAAGAGATTTGTGCAAGCACACTTTCAAATGCCCTGACTATCTATAGTTGGCGTTTGAGTGAAAGATACACTAACGTAGTTGCTGGGCAATTCAGGTGTCCCATACAGAGCAGGGGCCTTTGCCAGAAAGCTTGATGTCACTCAGCATCGAGCAGTTGCTGTTTGAATCTTTGAGGAGCCTCAGCCATGGGAAGAATTGCACAGTAAGTGCCCACTATATGCTGTGATGCTGCGTGCTAAGTGAGGCTACACGTGTTTTGGCACTCAATTTATACCAAGTGGGTTACAGTCCCTGAACTCTTCTGTGTGAGGAGCTGAGTGGCAGATATCCTGAGCAGTGTCCTGGTTTGCACTGACGGATACCCAGACAGTGCTTCCGTCTATAGTGAAATTAGAATCGCTGTCTAGTTGGGATTATATCCGAGTTCTTGGTCTTTGTGGAGATTCTTGGTATTCATTCCCTGGGTTTTTCTCTTGAAAGGAAAACTAAGTCTCCTCCTCCTCATTTGCTTCTGTCATCAAAAGCTGTCATGGCAGATAAAACACAGTCCCTTGTTTTGTCAGTGAGCTTTGCCTTCTTACAAAATGTCCTGCCTATTATGTCCATTTGGTGTAGTCATTTTCACATTTAGAAAATTGATTGTTTTATTTTTAAAGGATAAGTTCTACTTATATATTAGGAATATTGACTTTGTATCACCATGCTTTCTTGGGTTATTATTTGTTACATCATTCAAAGTGACCAAGACCAAAAGTTGTCCTGTTTTCTATCCCATTGTTTTAATGCTTTGGGTGTCATTTTTTTTTAAAGATCAATGAAAGATTCATTTTTGTATTCACTTTTATGTTTTCTTTTAGAAATATCTGTCCTTCAACTACCCAGGGAGCCAATAACATCACTCCAAAGTATAAGGCAAGACTAAGTTCATGGAGGCCTGGGGCGGGGCTCAACGGTAGAATGCTTGCATGGAAAGATTCCGGCTCCACTTTTGCTGGTGTTTAGCCTTCTTTGGTGCTAGCTGCATCAGTGAATCCATTTCTTTCCATTGGCTTGTGTTGTTCTCTGCCTAAAGATATGATGTGCATTTCTGGGGGTGAGAGGGGTGCAATTTCTTTAACTGTCATTCTTCTTCAGTGCTGACAAAATATGTGGGCTCTGTCTTTGCATGGTGAGGGGCAAGGACACCTAAGCAGGGGCCAGCAAATCAGAGGGAAGCCCAAGACCTTGGGTGCAGAGAGGAAGAACTCCTGATTTGGTGAGAGGAATCTCCCTAGAGGCAACTGCACTGACACTAACTTTGGCCATGGACTGAGAGGTTTCTAGGCCAGGTGTGTTTGCACAGAAGCATAATGGCTTCCAGTTAGGGAAGTGAGAGGGGACAGAGCTTTGCATAATTGCAGAGATTCGTGATGACTATAGGCTAGACTGCTGGCCCAGGGAGAGTAGACAGGATACAGAGAGGTAGAACCAGACTCTGGGAGGCTGCTTGATATCAAGGAAGGGACACTGAACCTCCTCACAGACAGAGTGGGGACACACAGCAAGGAACCTTCATGACAAATTGTCAGGTGCCACCCACTTATGTGTTTACCATTTGACTCCTTCCCCCCTATAGTTGGCTGAAGGCTGTAATGGGGCGGTGGTGACTCTTGGAACCTCATCAATGCCTTGGCACAGCTGAGGATATGAAGTTAGCATGAAACTTCCAGGCTCTCCGTGTGTTGGTGAGAAGATGAAGATGAGCAATAAGAGGAAGTGGGACCAGTGACATTTAAAAGGCAGATCATAGATGTTAGTCAGTCTTTTGTGACTGTGACAAAATGCCTGAGACACACAACTTATGGGGCCAAAGATTCATTCAGGCTCATGCTTCCAGAAGTTTCCATGCATGGTCACTGGTTCCACTGTTGTGAGTCTGTATGAGGTGGGGCAACATAAAGAGAAGGCTGGCAGAAGAAAGCTGCACATATCAAAACCAGGAAAGAGAGAGGGGGAGGAAGAGAAGAGGAAGGGGAGAGGAAGGGGGAAGAGAGGGAGGAAGGAGGAGGAAGAGGGAGATGGGAAAATATAACAACACATAATCATTGCAAAGGCATACCCCAGGGACCTACTTCTCCCAGGTTCCCCCTCCTCATAGCCCATCTATCCATGTGGTAGATAACTGCTGATAAAGCTTGTGGTCTCACATGATAGATCAACACCTCTGGATACTGATTTCTAAAAGAAGATCAATCTTTAAATATGAGCCTTTGGTGACATTTCAGATGCAAACCACAGCACGTGGATTCCTAAGGGTGGAAGTCTATGCTCTTTTCAGGCTTGGTGTTTGTGAGGGACCTGTGTTCATTCACCAGAATTCTGAAGCACCATTGTTGAGTGGATCAGACAACAGAAGAAACATTTTCTCAGTTTTCTGGAGGCCAGATGTGTGAGATCAAGGGGTCTGGAGGATCAAGGGGGCCGCGAAGGACAGTCTCTTTCAGACATCATTCCTTGGCTTAGAAATGGCCATCCTTTTGTGACCTCCATGTTGGCTTCTCTTTGTGTGCATCTGTGTCCTAGACTCCTCTTTATACAAGGACACCAGTCTTATTGCATCACAACCCAAACCAATTACACTGTTTTGCATTTATTACCTCTGTAAAGACTGTGTCTGCAAATAGTCACACGTTGAGAATTAGGATCTCTATGTAAACTTGAGAGAGGGCTGAGCTCACGTAGGAGAACTCTTTAATATGCATCACTACTGTTGTCTGCACAAAAGGACCTACACATCCAGGGAGGTGAAGCACCTGGTCTAGCCTGGGGACTCCACATTTCCAGAATTGATGAATGGATGTGTATGGGCAGGAGTTGTCCCTGATGTTGACACAGGTGTGTTGTTCTTCTTAGTCCGTATGCATTTTTCTCAATGTAGTGGATTTTTGCAAAGCAGGGGGATTTCATTGATTGAGTCCCTACCTACAGTGTGGCAGCATCTGCATACCAACTGCTTACTTTGGGCTTAGATACAACTGTCCCTTAGTTCACGCATTAGTTCAGGGGATGCATAATGTACTGAGTGTGTGAGAGCAATTATTGACTTGATGTCAATTCTTATTTCTTTGGTCAAATACATAATGCGTATGGCAAACATAAAATGATCAGAAAACTAAACACACATCTTTGACAAGTTCTCATTTCCTTTGCATTCTCTGATCATATATTTATTTCATTATTACCCCCACCCCTCCAATCCCCACCACTGGTGGTACTGGGAATTGAGCCCAGGATTTCACACTTACAAGGCAAGTGCTGTTCTACTGAGCCATATTCTCTGTCCTTGCCCATTAGTCACTGACATTAGTGGAGACTGTGCTGCATGCACTGGGCTGCTGGGAGAGAAAGGCAAGCTTCTTTCAACTCTTGAAACGTCAACCTAATACAAATTACAATTTACATTTAATGAAATTACTTACATAGTTGGGTTATAGCAAATTGAGGAATTTTCATTACAAAGAAAGCATATTTTATCTCGAAAAGAACCCTAGACTTGGAAGTGAAGATCCTGGGTTTATTTTATATTGACCCTTCTTAGCTTTGAGGTTTATATGGTCACTTAATTGTCCCACTTCAACTTATTGACTCTCACAGGTTGATTATGCCATCCCAGGCATGGGACTATACAACTCAATGAGTTTAAAGACTCTGTACCTTATCCAAATATTTTATATAGTTTCTACGGTCTAGGAGAATATTGTATTTGCATGGTTCCTAATAAGTTTGTAGTACTATTCTATCCTATATCTGACAGTGGCAAGCAAACAAAACAAATCTTTGAGTAAACTCTTTTCTATGCGGTGTTTTTCTTACAATACTTGCCATGATCCTTGTGGTTATTACTTACAGTTCTCTTGTCAGAATAGGTTCTTAATAAAAATGGCAAACACAGTCAAAAAATCCCTCCATTATCCAGTGTTTTGCAGGGTTCCTAGAACATAATAAATACAATTGTGTCACATTCTGAAAATCCAGTCCTGGAACTGAGATCCTAGCTGAGTGTCTCCTAGCCTCCACCATGTGAACAACTGATGGGGGATGTCTTTCTGTATATATGTTTCTCTTATTGGTTGACTGCTTGGCCAATAGAGGCAGGAAGATAGTTGGGACTAGAAGATGAGAATTCTGGGAAAGGTAGGCAGGAGAGACTGCAAAGAATGCCATGTAGAGACCTGGAAGATAGGATGCACCAGGCATCCTCCAGTAAGATAAGAACATGTAGAAATACATAGAATAGTAGTTATTGGCTAATAATTGAGAGATCTAGCCAGTAAGAAGCCCTAGCCATTGGCCAACAGTTTAATAATTAATAGAAGCTGTGGGACAAGAATCTGCAGAAACAATCTCTTGCAGTCTTGTTCCAGGGCTATATAGTGGTTGCATTTGACAGTGTTTGAGCACTCAACACCTCAAAGTCCTGGATCTACAGCTAACATCCTGGGTAATAAAGAATGTTTTCTGAGACAGCTGTAAAGGTTAGCAGTCAGGCTGCTGTCCACTGCACTGCCAGGTTGCATGACTTTGTGTGATGGATCTCCAGATCGATGCATTTGTGTGACTGCTCAGCATTCCTGTGACATTACTCCCCTCACACTCCAGATGGAACATGGGGAGAAAATTAAGGGATTTTGCAAACTTTTGGAGAACTTTTAGTCTTGTATCCCTTTCACAAGATGCCCCTTTCTTGCTGGGAAGAGCTGTGAGGTTCTGGTTTTGGTCTTTAGTGGGGTTCTGGGATTTCAGTTTACCCCAGTTTGGTAATGTTTACCCTCGCCGTCTACTTCTTGAATACTTGGGTCCACTCTCTGCCCCAGAAAAGATTCCTGATTGAGAACTCACAGATCCTCATAGGAAGGCAACCTTCACCCATTTATTCCAACTTCAGGACCCAATTTTCCAGCTGCTTTGGGCACATGTCAGCCTCTTCATCCATCCCTTATCCCCCAGTCTATTCTCATTTTCAACATACACATGTCAGCCTCATCATTCATCCCCTCCCCCCAAGTCCATTCTCACTTTCAACATATACTGTCAGGAGTCAACTATACCCTAATTCTACATTGTTTTCTCCCATTTTGCTTTAATGTTGTTTGATGGGAGTTGTCTTTCTGTATATATGTTTGTCTTATTGGTTGATGAATAAAACACTGTTTAGCCAATCAGGCAGGAAGATGGGTGGGACTAGGAGACAAGGAGGATTCTGGGAAGTATAGGCAGAGAGGAGTTATCATGTCATTCCTGGGAAGAGAAGATGTGAGTGAGGGGTTCTCTGGTAAGAGACGACCATGTAGAAATACTTACATTAATAGTTATGGGTTAATAAGACAGAACTAGCCAATAAGAAGCCCAAGCCACCAGTCAACAGTATTATAATTAGTGTAAGTCTCTGAGTGTTCATTTGGGGTTATGTGGCTGAAGGACCAGGCTGGCAGGAAGAATGCTCATAACAGTTACAGATTACAACCTCCCCAATCTTAAAACTATTTGTCTTACCAAATGAGGCTTTTTTAGGAGGCATCTGCCAACTCCTCACTTACTTCCACTCACACATATCTCAAGCCTTCTACTCAGATACTATTCCATAATAAGAGCTATCCTTAAAATCAAGAGCTAGCAACTCTTCAGACATAGGTTTTAGGACACTCAAATATTTTCTTGCAAAACCCTCCAAGATAGTCTCCAAAAATGAATTGTTTTATTTGGAAATCCTAGACCATCCCTATGAGAACCTATGTGCCTCAGCCAACTATAAGGGCATTCAAGGAGGCTGAGGCAATGAGAAGCTGTGGAGGGTCACATGAAATATTTTGAAATGATAACCATGGTCACGTGCATTAATAACAGAAATTTAAGAACAAATAGGAAGCATAGGGCCAGCCCAGGCCAGACATATATTTGCTGAAGGATTTTTCCTTACAGGAGTGCTCTCTATGTAATGTTGTGATGTTCATGCAAGCCTGTGGTCACAGCAGTATCTTTTGTGACTAGGTCTTACTATCATGCACACAGTTGGGGTATCTCTTCATTTATAGCTTCCTGGCTTTACTTCTTCCTAAGTTTTGATGACAGCCAAAGAGACTCCATTTTTACTCTGGCAAGATTCCTGGGGGGGGAATGTTAATTGTAGACAAAACCAGTTGTTTTCGATCCCAGCGAAAATGTTATAGACCACACAGTCAGGTCTGGTTGTTATTGGGACATAGAGCCTGGCTTGGGAGGAGTTCAGGGAACGTTGGTCGATGGAACCTAATTGTTTGCCCTGATTTGCACTCTTCTTGGCTTCCACCTGGTGGGTATCTGTGCTGCAGAATGTTTTTGAAAACCTACATTTAGCATGTGATGGGGGATTATTTGACCCTTTGCAGGAGCCTGACTCTATGTTGTGCATCACAGAGAATAGGAAAGGAAAGGGAGACATTCAGGGCTCAGGATGTGAAAGTGCTCAGAAGTCAGAAAGAAGGCTGTCCTCTTTCTCTGTGTCTTCCTGACATGGCTGGCAACTAGACAATAATAGAATACATTAAGAATGTCTCAGTTAAAGCAAGGAGAGAGGACATTCCTGTCCCAGAGAGACTTCTTGTCACATGGAAGCATTTTCTCTAGAAGGCAGAATTCTGGCTTTCTGCCTCACTGTCCCATGACATGACTTCTCCATCCTGGAAGCAGCTATGGGAAAGTGTGTGTCACCACTTGATTTCACTCCTTGTTTAAAGAAGTTGGCCAGCTTCAGCCCAGCCCTAAAGAGGACAGCCAGGTTTTGTCCTATTATCCCATGTTTATCATCCTCTAGATATACAGGGTCCAGGTCAATTAACGCTCAACCATCACAATGACAACTTGAACATTAACATCCTTGTTCCCAACCACTCCAGGGTACCTCTTTACTCTGGCTCCCGGGTCTCTCTCTGCCCTGCCAATCTTCATACTGCTCATGGCATCCCTCGCCCTTTGTGTAAGTTTAGGGTGACAATCGCTAGGCTCAAGGCTTGAATTCCCCTCTTCCAAATTAGATAGACACATTTTCTTACCAAATGGGAGTTTAGTTTCTAATTCCAATGGCAAGATATGTAGCTTGTATGTCTCTTGCACCCATGGTGGAGAGAGAGATGTATCACTCATGGTTTCAGCTATATGCAAATGTGTCACATCCTACATCAATCTAGATGTAGAAGGACAAAGTGAGGAGTTCCTTTAAGGTTTGAACTTGCCCAGTATGTCCTGTGTGGGTGTTCTGTGAGCCCAGAACTGTGACATACACTCTATGACTGTCTTCACTATATAGTTTTATGAAATAAGGTACTATTGTTGCCACCTGCAGAGGAAGAAATGCAAATTCAGTGGGGGGGGGGCAGGCGGTGTGTCTGCATACTCAGAGCTCTCCTAATTCTCAAGGACATAGAAATAGTTCATGCTGGAACCATGGCCTGAGCCCCAGGGATTCCATAGGCACATCCCTTTTTACAGAGAACTTTCCAATGTTTGAAGAGGAATGAATGGATGGTCTATGCCACAAGCTTCATGACTTACTAATGCATTTGTAAAGATAGGTTATATAGACCCTCAACCACAGGCAACATAGGATAAGATGTAATTAAGTACTTAAGTAGATCAGGGATTCTAGGATGATGTTCCAAGAAGACTTTGTGAGCCAGCTTAATCCTATTATCTTCACATAATCCACCATCAGACTGGGGATTTGAAGTATCAAATATTTCCAAGGCCACGGAGCTGCTCCCAGACGCAAAGCTAGTACACAATGCTGGGTTATCTTAACACTAATCCCTTATTCATTTTCGTGTATCCCCCTGCAATTTGTGGCTTCTCAGAATCAAAATCTAATTAGTGTTTTATCTTTTTAAAATAGTGCAGGTATATATTGTCCAAATTATATCTAGTATACATATTTTAATCAAAGCAAGGAAAGCAAACTTATTAGAATAGAGTTGTCCTTCACCATAAATCATGCAGCAATATCTCCTATGCATCTAGAAGGCTCAACTTTCACAAAAATTCATGTCAGCCTGAGCCATTATTTACTAATGATAATATGTTGTTAGTGGGGTAATTTGGTTAGGAGAATACTGAGCTAAATTATCTGGAATTTATAAGATAACACTGATAATAGTTTTATGGAAAATTACCTCAAAATTATACTCTTATTAAGTTTGCACATTAACAACACACCACAAGGACATATAAATTATATACGAGCCATATTCCTTTGCCCTTGCAAACATTGTATTATGTGGAGCTGCAGGCAGCAGAAGGTATAAGCTGTGTTATTAAGACATGCTGGCATTTAAATGCTGCATTAAAGTCACCATGGACAACTAGGTGATGATGCAGAGATGATAAAGATAGTGCCTTGAGATGAGATTTGTTCCTTCTCTAAAGGAAAAAGTCAAGAAAAAATAGCCTACATATAGAGAGAAGATGTGAGGAGCTCCAAATAGGAATTAGAAGAGGCTCGTGCCATCTGTCATTATTCAGTATATTTTGTTACACTAAAATGATTGTGAGCCTTAAGGGCACAGATTTTTCCCCCCTTTGGCGCTTCCCCCATAGTTTCGTGTCTTCTTTGAGATTCCCGAGGGCCCAAAGTTGAAGTCAGAGCTAACTGGGGTTGATACAGTGTTCATAAAAATCAATTCAAGAGCAAAGAGCTCCCTCCTGTAAACAACAAAAGAGCCTTTACTAGCGACATCGGTGTCCATGCTGTTCTTACTCAGACAGACACTGTGTGCTGGATTCCAGACTCTGCAGCTCTGGGGACAAATGACAGACCATCGTGCTTGCCAGCAGAAGCCAAGAATGCCATCTTCAAGTGTAACTTCTGTCTTCCTGATAAATCATCTGAGTTTGCTCTCTCTGGCAGCTGAGTGGATTATGAGTTTGGGATTATGTACACTAGCTGAGAGGATGCTGGGTTTCTGGGTGAAGCAAAGTATTGCATCCAAATGGTTAATACTACCACTGATCAGGAGAGCTAACACTATTGAGAGAACGGGGAAAGAAAGATGAGAGAGAGAACACCAGATGAGGGGATAGGAGGGGAAAATGGAAAATAGAACATTGAGAGAGGCCAATGAGATTCAAGGATTATTAGGCAAAACAGTTTATCATCAGCTTTGGTTGATATGAATTCCCCAGTGAATTCGCAGGCACCCCTGTGACTTAGTGGCCATCTCAACATCCTTCCTTCCTATTCCACTTAGAATCCATTCTTCTTGGGCAGCACCATCTCCCTCACAAACCCCAGGAAATACATTATATTCAGCATCTGCTTTGGTTTGCGTGGAAGCCGCTCTAACTCCCTGGAACAAACAACAGACAGTGCACCCTGCTGTGGCACCCTTTCACCTCTGGTCCTTACCATATGCCTCCCCTCCCAGTCACAGCTGAGCTTCTCTAAATGTCTACTCTTTATTGTCTCAACTCCATTAACTTCTAGGCCCATTGCCATGGGCCTTGACATACTGCTTCCCTGATATGAAACCTGTCCTACTCAGATGGGTACCGACCTTTCGGTTCTCCCTTTATCCCCCCTTTCCTTTCTTCCTTCTTCTTTCATCACTGTATCTATCCATCAGTCAATTAGTCTGCCGTGTTTGCTGTCTATAATTTATCAGTCATCTGCTCTATCATCTATCTAAACTGACATTTATCAATTATCTATTAGGACACTCTGACAAATATAGCAATGATCGTTTAATTTCTTTGCAGCATTTGACCTTGCCAAACTTTCTGTCTCATGAAGTGAGATGACACCCCTACACACACCCAACACCAACAAAAGACCTTCCTCTCGATAATAATCTATCCTTGGCCTCTGACACCACACTGTCCAGGTCTCCTTTAGATCTTCCAAGTTCCCCCCACCCCATCACCCCCACATTCTGAGTATTCCTTTCCTTTTTCTGCCCTCCAAAAACTAACCTTCCCATCTAGGCAATGGCGGTTAATGTTTACAATGTCAAAAAGATGCTACTTGAACATTTTATTTTAGTTAGAAGAAGGGTTGCAGCTATTTCTCTACATTTGTCTAATTTCTTTATGAAGTTTCTCTGCTTTGGAAATACTTTTGTTCAAGCACTCCTGGTACATTACAAACATTACCTGTTAAAAATACATCTGCTGATCATTACTTTTCTTTAAACTTGTTTGTTGATATTAAAACAGATATATATGACAAGCCATTTTTTAAGAAGGTACTTCTAGCTGTGACAAGAGTTAAATTTTCCTTTCTATCTTCAAAGTTGTGAGTGCATTGATGAAGGTTTCCAATAGCGATTTATAGGTGATGTTTTCACAGTATTATTTTGATAAATACAGAATTTATTTTCTAAAGAATGAGAAAAATCTGTAAGGACATCATTTATCCTCATTTATCCAAGGGATGATGTCATGAGATGACAAGAGCAGAGATTAGGGTGGTATTGTCCCCATGGCAAGAGATGCCTGGAGCTTCCAGAATCTGGAGGAGGCAGGAAGTGCTGTCCTGGACAGACTTCAGAATGAGCAGGCCATCCCCACACTCAGTGGCAGCATCAGGAAGCTGGCCCAGCACTCCCTCAGGCTGCTTTCCCTTCCCTGCATTATCTCATTCACTCTCAGTGTTGTTTTCCTCTCTATCTGCTTTCAAGCTAACCAATGGGGGCACAATCCTAGTGACAGGATTCATGGCTGTTTCTGTTGCTTTTCTGTTTTCACTGCTGGCGCAATTCCTATGACAAAGATGCAGTTTGCAACCTGAAGGTCCTATAGGGAAACACCTCTCAGATGTTGGACACTGAAACATGTTTTAACCTGTGGTTCTCTGGAACCTTCTCAGACTGACTGATAGCACAGAGGGAAAAACAAATCCTAGTGCAGCTTTCCGGAAAGAGACTCAAGGTCTCCATATAGGGTTGTCCACAAGGCACACCATGCAAAGTTTCAACCATGTGATGCCTGTTCCCATGAACAACCCTGTCCTGCTGCCACAGAGGCTGGATAAAGCCACCCAGACACTGACAAGGTATCACTCTGCTGCTCTACTTGGGATCCACCACACCCTTGAGGTTTTTACACAATTGTGCTTGAACGTCAACAGTACTTCCATGCACAAGACAGAGAGACTCTTTGGGAGCAATCTTTGGATGATGTAAGCTACTGCATAACACACCACATAGATGATGGATTTAGCCTTCCTTCCCCTCGTGGGCATTAGTCAACATCCTCCCTCCCTCAGAAGCAGAGAGCCACCATCTGCCTCCTGCTTGTCCTGAGGACAGATACTGCTCCACAGCAGTGACTGCAGGCAGAACCACTATGTGGATGGAGACACGGGGATTGATTGCTACAGGAGTGAATGAATGTGGAAAGCAAACATAAAACAAGTGAAACAGCAAGCATCAGTGGGAAATTCTAACCATTATGAGGTAAACGATTGTCTGCATCACTCCCAAACCAGTTGGTTGATCTTTTCAGATCCATTTGCATTGGGACTTAGGAAATCTTCATATCTGCACAAACCACAATGCCTTTTTCACTACAGAATGCCCTCAGGAACTTGGACTTTTCACTCACAATAAACCGAAAGCTGAGTAGTAGTGAAAGTCGGTGCTATGGTTTGAATGTGAACCCTCTTCCATACATTCGTCTGTTTGAACACTTGATCTCTAGCTTGTGGTGCTGTATGGGGAGGATAAGAGGCATCTAAAAAGTAGGGTTTCTCTTCAGGAAGTTGGTGGGTTGGTCCCTGAAGAGGGGGGCGCTTCATGGAGTTGGCTATCTCCTAGTCACAGTTCCAACTGAATGCTGTCTACTTTCTGGTTTGCTGAGATGTACACAAGCTATCACACACACACACACACACACACACACACACACACACACACGCACACACACGCACACACCCCTACCTACTTACCTACCTCCTGGCAAGGAGCTGCTCCCCATCATGACTTCCCTGCCTTAATGACTGTCTTCCCCTCCTAAACTATGTGCCAGATAAATTCCTCCTTTGTTAATTAATTGTGGCATATATCTTGTCACAGAGGTGAGAAAAGTAACAGAATTAAGAGCATATCTAAATCAATAGGTTTTAATGATGAAACATCTCCAGTGGAAAAATAGTTTTCTAGTTTTTCGACGTTTTACTAACGAGGAATTACATTTTCAAAATCAGTTGGAGACTTTAATGACTGGCAATCAGTCAGTGTGTCCTACCATCTCCCCTGTACATGAACAGCAGCTTTGCAGGGCTTGGTCACAGAAAGATCTGCCCATGGAACTCCCAACAGAAACCATATTTGTTCATCTTGACATCCTTACTATACAACGGTCTGGGAGTAAGATAGGTCCTTAATGCATACACATTGTAGGTCTTCATCCCTAAACAAAGAACCTAAGGACAATTAGGGAATGCTGAGAGTGGGACAATTAGTCTTCCCCAGGGAAGAACACACTTACTGGATATCCAACACCAAGGGGTCAGCCCTAAATCATATATATAGAAAGTAACTATAAGGCGGAACAGGTTATGTTATATACTTAGGAACAACACCCCCCCACACACACAAGTAAAGAAATAGAGGCATTAATTTGAGATAGACTGAGGAAGGGTACATGGGAAAGGAAAGGGAATGGGGATCTAAGGCTTGAGGGAGTCATTGTGGATATTTGAACACCACAGCGCATGACACATTCCTACACTGAAGTAGAACAGCTATTGCATAAGCTCTCCTGGGTGAGTATCTATAAGTCGCAGCTATTTGACAAGTCGTCCTACGATGTAGACACCCGTTGGAAATGACTTTCAGTGGACAGCATTTAAAGAGGGCTTCTCAGCAAACACCACAGTCATCACCTCAAAGTCCAGCTCTCGGTTGCTGCCATCTGCAGGTCTCAGGGCCTCACTGGGTGTTGATCAGAGAAAGCAACCCTTACCCTCGCAAGCTTACAAAGGGGGAGGTCAAAGAGCAAGAGGGAGAGAGAACAAGACGAAGATCCAGAAAGAGCCATTCACCAAGGCAGACGCCTCCACACTCTTTCTATGATCCTGTCGTTGAGGTGACGGCGAATCGATTCCATGATGTTAATATTCATCAGGGAAGGGAAAGGGACTCTTGTTAGACTCCACGAAAGAGAGACTACGTGAGGTGTGAATCCCTCAGGACCAAAAGCCGCTACCAACAGTTTCCTGATAGTGCTTGTGCCTAGGAATGATACTCCAACTGGGGGTGAGAGCTGGCACACAGGCTGAGGTTCAGACAGGAAAGACACTAAGCTTTGAGTGTGGGGTTTGAATGCAATTGTCCCCATTCATCTCATAGGGAGTGGACTATTAGATATGGCTTCGTTGGAGAGGAGGTGGCCTTGCTTGGAGGAAGTGTGTCAGTGTGAAGGGCGGGCTTTGGGGTTTCCTATGCTCAGAATACCACCCAGTGTGTCAGTCAACTCCCTGTTAGCTGCAAGATGTAGAACTCTCAGCTCCTTCTCCAGCACCATGTCTGTCTGCACACCACCATGCTTCCCGCCATGATGATAATGGACTGAACCTCTGAAACTGTAAGCCACCCCAATTGTTTTCCTCAATAAAAGTTGCCTTGGTCATGGTGTCTTTACACATCGGTAGAAACCCTAAGACAATATGACAGGATGTGCCATGCCACAAGTCCATAGAGAGCAATAGGAGAAAGTCTCTCTGATTCTTATTCAAGCATCAGCAAACAACAAGCTCCTCCTACAGGGTTAGCTGACGGAGGCCCCATTCCATCCATCTCTGCCTCAGCTGTGAGTGGTGAGACCTGCCTGCAATCCTAATGCTCAGGAGACTGAGCTACATAGTGAGACTATGCCTCACAAACACCAAAGTAGACTAAATCAAGCTGAACCCCAGTCTGAGTGAGGAGTTATGGGCAGGTATGCTATTGAAGTTTCTCATTTGGGGTTCAGTAAATGACCCACAGCATTTCCAGGGCTTTCTGTTGTCTCGTGTTTCCCCCCCTGTGAACTGGAGACTAGACCCCATCACTATGCTTATGGCTGTCCTAGGAAACCATGGATTTTGCAAACCAGACTGGGCCTTGTGAGGTTGGCTCTCCTCATGCTGTGTCCAGCTGGACTCCAGTTCCCTCTTGCCCTGAGCATGAACTGTGTGAATTTCAGGCTAGAGAGGCAGGCCTTAAGTGTCTGTGTATGTTGGGCAAATTTGTTGACACTCCTTGAAATAGCGGTAAATAATCAGCAAGAAGGAATGAATTTCAAGTGCAAATTCATCTTCCTGGAGGCAGTGGAAAGCTGTGTGGAATCTCTAAATGGTTCAAAACAGAATCCTGGGTGCAGATGGTGAGCTCCTGGGCTGTGGCTCTGCAGAGAATGGCCTGTCCACCACCAGTTTGGACTCCTGCTAGCCGTGTGCTCCCAGGACAGCATGACTGATCAGGCAGCCACAGACTTGCTGTGCGAAAAGCTGCAGATAAGTGTCACACTCCAATGCCTTCATCCCTTCTTCCTAGAAAGGTTGGGCTCTAGGCCTATATATGCATGCTGATTCTTGTTTGTCTCTTCCAGGGATTGGGCACAAGACTTGTGATCAGGGCAGAGGGGATCCACACAGTGCTTAGCAGTTCACTGTCTGTTTTCAAGATTCCCAGAGAGTACCTGGTTTGCTCTTGGCACCAAAACCCAGTTAGAGAAGACCAACAAACTTACGTCCACAGTGTGAGGGTTTCCAGAAATATTAACTCTAAATGTGAACTCTTCCCAAATACTGTTCAGTCACAGTACTTGGCTTCCTGTCCATTATAAAACCTGTCTTAAGTAAATGTCATCTTGGTTTCAGTTAAATGCTTTTCTGGTTCGATATGTTCATTATAGAGAAAAACCACTGCTGGCATTTCTGCCTGGCTTAATTTCTGCAAAAATTCCCACACACAGGTCATTACTACACCGCAGGAGGAGTGTGGTACTTAAGGGTGGAGCACTGCACTCCTGGTTCCTGTGCACACACTAGCATACTCATTCACGCACCATTTAACCCAAGGATTTCTGATTCTGGGATGAGAAATAAATCTATTACTTCTCTCCAGTTCGTAACATTCATAGACAGGCCTTGTTTTCCCAGCCTCAGGCAGCAGCATGCTCAGGCTTAATCATATTTTCACTTGGTTCAGCTGTATAATACAAAAACTGGACCCTTGATATCTATACAAAGGCCCCGAGGGACCATGAGCACTCCCTTTGAAGTACTTTTCACCCTTCCGAGCCCTACTGTGCGTTTAGAAAATACAACATATATGATCGTACTACATTTCCACAGGGTGGCCTGAAGGAAACCCAGTCACAGACCTCCAGCAGGCCCTACGACACAGCTGTAGATAACAAGTGGGGAGCTAGAGTCAACTGTGGCTATCGGGCCATGGGGTGGTCGTCTTGCCTCCTGTCAGGAGTTCCTCGAATAAAGTCCTTGTCTGCAAAGAGCCTGGGGTGTGATTCTTCTCCCTAGTACCATAGTCCGAATAGCACATCTCTTTGCCTGGGTCAAGTCCTCTGTGTTTTCACAAGGATATTTTGAATTCACTAGAGCAGAAGTCCAAATTCTTCCCTCTTTGCACTTGCCAAATCCCAAGCCAACTCTTACCTCATTTGAATAATTGAGTCCCCGGACCCTCTATTTACTCCTCGGTGATCTGCAGGGCCCTTTCCTCTCACACAGCAGCTCAATTGCAGGGTGGTTACCTTCTGGCCTTGAACTTCTGTGCCCTCTCCAGCCCTCTTCCTGGGAGGCACACACTGGCTGTACAAACTTCAGATAATAAACAGTTTAATGTGGTTGGTGGGGGGAGGTCCTGTTGGTGATCTGAAGTGGCCTTTCATTTCACAGATGCAGAAACAAGATCTAACCCTCAGCCTCAGCCAGAACATCAGCAGTAACTTCATTTCCAGGTCCCTCCCAGGCCCTTCTGGGTACTTGCTTCATCGTTGTAGACCATCTTAGTCAGCTATTAGTTTAATTTAGTGTGTATTTGTATGTTTACATGTACCTATAGGCCCATATGTGAAGATTGTGTGTGTGTGTGTGAGTGTAGGAAGGAGTTGACATCAGAAGTCATCCTCAATCACTGTCCATCTTCTTTTTTTATTTCAAGATAGGGTAACTCATGGAACCTGGTGCTAAAATGCTAGGCCAGTGAGCTCCATCCTGGCTTTCTTTTGTCTGAGAACAGAAATGTCATGTCATCTATTCAAATAGAGGTTAGTTCGCTTGTCTCTCATTCACCCTGTGCTGACTGGTTCTTATGTCAGCTTGACACAGGCTTGAGTCGTCTGGAAGAGCGAGTCTCGGGCTGGCCTGTATACATGCCTTCTTAGTGACTGATGTGCGTGAGAGGAACCAGGTCTCCTGGCAGGTGGTGCTGGTATCTGTAGGAAAGCAGGCTGACAAGCTATGGGAGCAAGCCAGTAAGCAGCACTCCCTCCATGGCCTCTGCATCAGTTCCTACCTCCAGGATCCTGCCATGCTTGAGTTTCTGTCATGACTTCCTTCGGTGATGGACTATGGTGTAAAAGTGTGAATGGACCATTTCTCCCAAAGTTGCCTTTGATCATGGTGTTTCATCACAACAATAGAAACCCTACCTAAGACATGTTCCATCCAAGTTGCTAGACCACTTCCTGCCCCCTTCCTTCCTGGTTAGCTCTTTTGCCACATCTCTCTGCCAAGCCGTAGGAGTCATGGGTTACTACAATGTAGTGATGTGCAGCAAAGGGGCTGAAGGCATAATATATCCTGTCAACACAGGAACAGCGTAGGGATTGCTGAAAAAACTTTATTTTTATTTATTTATTTATTTGGTATTTATGAAACAGGGTTTCTCTGTATTGTTTTGGAGGCTGTTGGTCCAGCCTGGCCTCGAACTCACAGAGATCCGCCTGCCTCTGCCTCCCGAGTGCTGGGATTAAAGGCGTGCGCCACCACCGCCCGGCTGAAAATGTTTTATATTCCATCTAGTTTCTATTGTCTTTCTGTCTGTGGTGGTTTGAAAGAAAATGGCTCCTATAGGGAGTATGGCCTCGTTGGAGGAAACAAGTCACTGTGGGGGTAGACTTTGAGGTCTTATATGCACTTAAGACACATCCAGTGCCTCAGACCAATTCCTGTTGCCCACAAGTCAAGATGTGAGAACTCTCCGCTACCTCTCAAGCCTCATGTCTGCCTGCATGCCGCCATGCCACCTGCCTTGCTGATAATGGACTAACATTCTGAACCATAAGCCAGCCCCAACTAAAGGTTTTCTTTTGTAAGAGTTGCTGTGGTCATGGCGTCTCTTCACAGCAATAGAAAACCCAACTAAGCCAGTATCTCTGACTACTTATCACGCAGCCACCCTGTGCCTATGCCTCCGAGCTATTTGGAATGACACAAACTTTCATACAATGTAGAGGGATGGAATAAGTGTCATAGCCCAGCTTCATGTCAAGCAGGAGGCTTGGCTGCCAGAATCATAAGCCTTCTTGGAACCCAGTGCTGTTATCTCCCAGTGATGTCATGTGGCTGGTCTCCTTCGATGACTTCAGCTTTGAATGGCCTTGTCTCCTAGGATCCCTGGCAGATTGATAAGAATCGTCTTCAGCCATCAGGCACCATACAGTATCCCTGTGATAGAGCAGCACTGCATCAAATAATAGAATCTAGGGGAGCAAGATGACTTCCGTGTATGGGGACTTCTTTGTTGTTGTTTATGGACCTCTCTTGATGTTGTGGTTCTCAGACTTCAAAGACTCCACATTGCTGCTTATGGCTCTGCCTTTTTCTCATGCCTCCCTAAGGTTGAGCAAGGATGAGGTAGATGGAGATGGTGTTTGAATGATTCGCCCTAGTACTTAATAGTTTGCATGGCTGGGAGTCCTGGGTGGGGTCCATGCTCAGTGCTGGGCAATCTCAAATAAGCTGTGGTGCTTCTGTGTGCCTACATTAGTAGCTCTCAGAGCAGGACATTGAATTACGTGGTCTCTGATGAGGTGTCTCTGAAACACCTATGCCCTTCTTGACAGAGGCTCCCCCAAAGAAGCCCTTCATGCTGTTCAATCTGCAAATCTCAAGATTTAGCCTCATAGCAGGGTCCCCACTCCTCAGTCTCACGCTTCTCTGTCGTGAAAGCTGTAAGGGCAAAAACAAAGACAATGAAAGCGAGGTAAGGAGCCAATCAGTCACCAATTCCCTCACTCTATACGCAGAAAATTATCACCAGCTGTTGCCCAATTAAATGCAGCACTCGAGCAGGGCACCCGAGCTCACAGGAGACCACAGCATGCACTGTGTGCCCAGCAGAGCCTCTTGCATAAAGCCCAGAGGACGTCGCATCAAAGCATGGTATCCCATAACCTGGGTTTGTGTCTTTGGCTAGAGGCACTTAAACACAAAGACCTGGTAACCAGGAAGGAGGCCCTGTTGTAAACTGTGCACCAAGTCCCGTGCATGCTAAGCCCAGGGAATCTGCAGAAGGGGGTGTTTTCCTGACAAGCCGCTAAAGCCTACCAAACATCCTTACTCGTGCACAGCTGGATGAGCAGGTGGATTCGGGACTGGCAGTATGTCCAACCTCTCAGATCAGTTTATTGTGTGCCCTTCATCTGCCAGACAGAACCCCCAGGGATGTAAGTCAAGGAGACAGGGTCCCACCACGAGAAGACTCCAAGTCCAGTGTGGCTTGGAGAAGAGTGGAATTTGTAACGTTTTTAATGTGAGGCCTGGTAGGGTTTATGGTTGTTCGCTGTCATAGTAACAAGGTAGTCGAGATAAGCAATTTTAAAAGAGAAGACATTTGTTTTGTCTCATGATCTCAGGAGTTTCAGTCCATGGTTAGTTGGTCCTGGTGTTTTGGGAATTGACCCACGTACTGCAGGGTGCTCTCCTCTGAACCCCAGATTAGGCACAGACCATACCCAAACGCCAATTTCCAAGCACAAGCCGAATGCAAAGAGATCATTTACTAAGCAAGGAAAATGAAAGGACTGGATCTGATTTGGGCAGCAAATGGCTTTTACACAGGTTAATTTTAGGGGGAGGGGAAGGAGGAGGTCTATTTAGAATGAGCACAGACATTTTGGTAAGTTCTGATTGGGTATTTTAATTGGGTTAGTCAAATGATGAATTTTGATTGCTGGACTTTGATGTTTTGGTACTTGGACCTTGGTGATCAGTCTCAGGAATGAATTGGCCAAATAAAGGGCTAGTTTTATTAAGGGGACAAGAGCCAAATGCAAAACCTGTTGGTGCCATGTTTGCCATGGTCCAGCCTTCTGGAGCCTTTTACTTTGTGTCTGTGGTAGCAGAGGCCAGTTCCTCTCATGACGACTAGAAACAAAGAAGAGAAATAAGTATCTGGGGTGCCAATGTCCCCTTCCTCTTTGAGCTTGCACCGTCCAGTGCCCCAACCACTACCCACTAGGCCACACTTCCCAATAGCTCCACTTCCCAAGGGTGCCTCAGGGTAGACATGAGCACAATCTACAGCAGATGGCTTTGCTGGGCCCTTGGGTGAGAAGAGCATTCTCAAGATGAGTCCAAGAGAGGCAGAGGGAAAGCACACCGCAACTGCCTTTCCTCTCCTTTATCATTAGGGTTTACGTTTCTTTTCCTCCTCTTCCCCATCCTCCTATTGCTCTTGTATATTGTGTTGAAAACTGCTTCCTGAAATTATCATGGAGCCATTGTCAAGGGAAGAGTGGTATTTCATATTATCATCCAAGCTGTTTTGGGTTTTTTGTTTTGTACCCCCACAGGGGGAAAACTTTTCTTTTTTTATTCATATATATATGTATATATATGAATATAAATAAAATAAGATTTCTTTGTTATGTATACAGTGTTGTGTCTGCCTGCAGGCCAGAAGGGGGCACCGGATCTCATTACAGATGGTTGTGAGCCATCATGTGGGTGCTGGAACTTGAACTTAGGGCCTTGGGAAGAGCAGCCAGTGCTCTAAACCTTCTGTATATGTTCCATCCTCACCACAGGTATTCCTTCTCTCTCCTCCAGACCCACTCCTCCTCCATTTCCCTTCAGAAAGGAGCAGGCCTCCCAGGGCTATCAGCCTAACATGCCATATCAAGTTAAAGATAAGACTAGGAAAACACCCTTATATCAAGGCAGGTCTAGGCAGCCCAATAGGAGAAAAAGTGTCCCAAAATCAGACAAGAGTCAAAGACAGCCCCCACTCCCACTGTTAGGAGTTCCATAAGAGCACCAAGCAACACATCTGTAACGGATATGCTGAGTGACAAGGTCAGACCCATACAGGCTCCCAGATCGTCCATTCAGTCTCTGTAAGTCCCATTGAACCCTGCTTAGTTGATTCTGTGGGTCATGTTCTTGTATTGTCCTTGACTTCTCTGGCTCCTACAATCCTCCTTCCCCCTCTTTGGAGGAATTCCCCAAACTGAACCTGATGTTTGCATCTGTTCCCATCTGTTGCTGGATGAAGCCTGTCTGATGACAGTGAGGCGAGGCACCTATCCGTGAGTATAACAGACTATCATCAGGAATCATTTCATTGACTTTTTGTTGTTATGGTTCTATACTAGGACTCTCTGACCTCTGGTTCCTGGCCCTCCAGGCAGTGTCAGGCATGGGTCTCAAATTAGGCCAGTCATTTGTTGACCACTCGCACAAACTCTGAGCCACTCTTACCCCAGGACAGATTGTAGGTCAAAGGTGTTGTGGCTGGGTTGGTGTCACAGTCCCTCCACTGAATGTCTTGCCTGTTTACAGAAGATGGCTGGTTCCAGATCCTTATGCCCCGTCATTAACAGTCTTTACTAGGGCTACCCTCAAAGATTCCAGGGAGTTTCCATTGCTGTAGGTTTCTACCTCGTCCCCAAAATATTCAATTGTCTGTCCCACTACAATCTCCCTCCATCCCTTTCCTTCCCATCTGATCCCTCCTGGTCCCTTCCCACCCAGGCCCGAGTTCACCTGCAAAGCCTACTCTATCCTCTTCCCAGGGAGATCCACATGCCCCCCCAGCCACCTTGTTACCTAGCCTCTCTGGTTATCCCTTACTTACAAGTGAGTACACACCATGTTTGTCTTTCTGTGTCTGAGTTACCTCATGCAGGGTGATAGTTTTTCTAGTTCCATCCATTTGTCTGAAAATTTCATGATGTCACTTTTAACAGCTAAGTAATAACTCCATTATGTAAATGTACCACATTTTCTTTATCCATTCTTTGGTTGAAGGACATCTAAGTTTCTAGTTTCTAGCTATTATGAATAAAACTACTATGAACTTGGTTGAGCAAGTAAGTATCCTTGAGATAGAGTGTCCTTTACGTATACACCCAGAAGTACTATTGGGTAAACACCCAATTTTCTGAGAAACCTGCATACTAATTTCCAAAGTGGCTGTAAAATTTGCACTTCCACAATAATGGAGGGCTACACCCCTTGTTCCACACCCTTGCCAACATGAGCTGTCACTTATGCTTTTGATCTTAGCCATTCTGACACATATAAGATGGAATATCAAAGTCGTTTTGACTTGTATCTCCCTGATAGCTAAGGATGTTGAACATTTCTTTGATAATCTGTTTAGATCTGTACCCCATTTTTAATTGGATTATTTAGTTTGTTGATGCCTAGTTTCTTGAGTTCACGTATGTTGGAAAGTAGCCCTCTGTCAGATTTGGACTTGGTGAAAATATGTTCCCAGTCTGTAGGTTGCCATTTTGTTCTATTGATGGTGTCCTTTGCCTTACAGAAGCTTTTCCGTTTCATGAGATTCCATTTACTAAGTGTTGATCTTAGTGCCAGTGCTATCAGTGTTCTGTTCAGGAAGTTGTCTTCCATGCCAATGTGTTCAAGGCTATTCCCCACTTTATATTCTATCAGGTTCAGTGTAT